CAACTCCAAGCCTAAAAGCTGAGCCATTGTTTTGCGATGATTCCGATCCCAGTCCCAAGGGACGTTGGTTCCTTAAATGAAAAATGAAACTCAAGACTAATATTCTTCAACACAAAATAGGTGTTTTCATATGTACTGTAAACTTACCATTGCATGTAGATTGGTTGGTGAGTAAAGTAAGAATGCTGCTAGCTGTGTAGCCATCATAGGAACAGATAGAAGTCTCACAAGCTGAAACAGATGTGTTGCCAAGTGACAGGATCCCACATTTAGCTACAGGGCATGAGTACTTACTTATTCCCTGGGTGGGATGACAGTCCAACCTAGTAAGATGTTTAATATTTTTGAAATAAGAGTTCAGCGATGATATGAATAAAGGTAAGTGTAGTATCCCAATAAAGGTAAGTGTACAATGGAATACTAACTGCCATGTGGTGGAGCTGCAAAAGTCTCATACTTTCATTATTAATAATGAGTGAATTGAAAGATAAAATGCTAAATAAAAATTTCCTTATTTGGGGTTTGTGAAATGAAAATTAACTGTGGTAAATATTCGAGTCGCTAAATGCTATTTAATAGGGAATTAGAAGACTATAATTTTACAGTTCTAAGACTTCCAAATGAATCAAACTTTGATAGTTGGTATAATATACGTATCTATGAAACAACTCCCTTTCACGCAGTTTGTTTCTATAAAGTTTAGTAGTTGCTTCATACTATTATTTAAAAGTGTGATTCCTTAGCAATTTGTATATTTCTCTTATAATACCCCCACACCCAACACGCACAAAAAAAGGGAAAAAAAAAATCAATGAACCTAAAACATTTAAGTTGTAACACTTAGCTCAAAAGTATAATGTAATGGGGATGATAGATAATTTAGAAGACTTTCAGCCAAACCTTGTCATTTCCTCCAAGGGAGCGGGTCAAAGATCATATATAGCTATTACATCTGTAGTGGAAATGAATCTATACAGACAACACTCACATATCAGGCTTCCGATAAAATAATGAAAAATGAGATTAATATGTTGAATTTTAAACATATAAATTACATCAATGAATATAAAGACTTGGCAAAGAATATTTGGCATTTTACGTACAATAGTACATCAATCACATATGGCTTAGGACTTTCTCCTTTATGTGGAAGAAAACACAAAGAGGCATCAGAAATAAAGGATGATTTTGTAAACTGAAAAGCAGTGTTCTTTAGAACCTATGTGCAGGAGCCAGCAACTGAACTCTTAGTAACATTGTAAAAGTTGACCAATAGTTTCTTCTCATAATCGCACTCCCTTCTATCCAAATACTGAAATTTAAATGACCTAAAAGAAATAAATTATAATGTTTGAGGGAATCCCGAAATGGAAATAAACAACAAGCACCCATTATGACATGGGAAAAATAGGAATAAAAAATTATTTTAGTTGGTAATGGGTAAGAAGGATATTAAATGAATCATACACAGCATTTCTCACAAAAAAAGTAATATTTTCAAGAAAGCTTTAACTATTGACTCGAAGAGCTTGAACATGGGATGGTGGATATCCATATACATCATAAAGAGTAGACAGTGGTTGCGAAAATTGCACTGACATGACAAGAAAAGGTTTAGGATATTCTTACAGAAATTGCTCCTTTGGGCTCTAACGTGAGGAATGTTGTTGGATGTTCAGATGTACCTGTGCAGTCTATGAATGCTGTGAGAAAGATTAACGCCAATTTTATGGTAGACAAAAAGTGGTTCTTTACTATATAGGAACTATCTTACCAAGATAAAAAACACGCCTAAAGTCCTTTAATAAAGCCTAAAACCTTCTCATCAAAATCAAAGCCAGGATTCCAAACGAGCGATCCATTTCGAAAAACACAACCATTTTATGTAATTTATATGAAGAAAAGTATAAATAATAATCAGAAATGCATACATAAATATGATTCATAGAATTAATTGAATGCCAAGTCAATGGAAAAGGTAAGAGAAAAGGAAATGAAAAATTAAGTCAATGGAAATTAGTCAGATAGTGAGAATAGATGTTTAAATAATCTTCTAAAAAAAGAATTTATAGGGAAAGAAACAAATTCAAAGAAGGCTGTCTCAAAATGGTTCCTGGGATATAATAAGCGTAACTCTAAAGAAGAATAATAAAAGAAAAATTAAAGCGAATTAAGTTTGAACTTAAGATATTTATAAGATTATACTACGAGCCTATAAACAATAGAGCCTACAAAAAAATTTTGAAATTTCTAAGTTCTTAACAAAAAAACTTCTAAGTACCGTGCAACAAAATAAGCATTATATAGTAAGTAATGCATTAGCATTTGAAAGATCTTTTTAACTAATTTTTAAAAAAATTGAATTTATTAACTAAATAGAGAAGAGAGACTCAACATGTAGGTACCATGAAGGAAAACATGCTATTGTAAGCATACAGTTGCATATTACAATTATATTATGTTTAAGATAAGCATATTGTTATGTACTTGTAATAAAAAAAATTTAATTGACTAAACGCATAAGCAGTCGAAGTGACAAATTAGTTTAGTAGGAGTTACAACATATGGCAAGTATATGAAAAAGTTAATTGTTTAAAAAAAATATATGTAACATAATGTTCAAATATAACGAATGCATCAACTCTTAAAGCTGCAATAACCTGCTTTAAAGATAAATAAAAAAAAATATAGATAGATAGAGAGAGAGAGAGAGGGAGAAATAAGAAATGCATATCTAGAGTTTCAAAAGAAAATATAGAAATATCCTTGTTGTCATTTAAGAAATTCAATCAAGTCTGAATCAATTGCATCATAATTTATTAAAATAATGATGGAGCAAATAAGTATGTATTGGAAAAAAGTCCAAGTTATTAATTACGACATTTACATATACAATTACG